TGAATTCAGCAACTGTAATTAAGCTGGTGCTGCAGAAATATTTTAAATGGAGACACTTTTAACTTTTCTTAGAAACTGAGCTCCTGATTCATCTTGCATCTTTCTTAAAGAGAAATGCAAATGAAGGAGAAAGATAAATAGGAATAGAAAGAGGGATTGAAAGCTTTATTTTTGCTAGTATATACAAGAGCTGTGAAGATCATCATATTTGATTCCAAATTGCATATGGTTGTAAGAATATTCCACTTGTTGTCAATCCCTTAATGCAACTGAGTCTTTTCCTGGGGCTGCACAAAAATTTCAGACAAGTCGCCATGGGTGTTCAAAGCACCATTTTATTACCAAAGGTAAAGGACTGCACAGATGTAGTATATTGTTATAGTGAGATCACCACATAGTAACTTTTGGTAATGTTATATTCAAGCAGTTATTCTATATGATGTGCTGTCTAAAATGCAAATAGTAAATATTTTGTCTCAGGAATTGCCATGTATATCTTAATTTATTAAAAACCAAACTATCATGGACTAGTTGGTACAATCTAATATTAAATGAAAGGAACAATTTTAATAAACTTGAGTGCCAGAAAATATGTTCGTGTTCTTTTGTAAAAATCAAGCTATTGTTGAAAATCATGACACTTTTGGCAAAATAGTTGTTTGAGAATTTTGGCAGTGCATATAAATAAATCAATGTAACTATGACATAAATATATTTGTATATTTACTGGAAAGCCAATGATTTCAATTTCTGTTATCCAATTATTATCTCTCTTCCTGAAGTGTAACAATAAAGGGAATATGATAGCTTATAAATTTAGCATGACAATCAGAATTGTCATGAATTTCCTCTACTCTTCTTTTTTCTTCTCCTCCCAAAAGCTAACAAATATTTTATTTTTGTATGAAAACAATTCTTGAAAGTTATGATTTTAATTTTGAAAATGTATGTTTTCATGTTCCATGCAATTCTCTATTTAATATATTTATCTTTATATTTATCCTTTTCTCTTCCTCCAAAGCAATTGTCATTGGTCAAGAAAAAGTATATGGACTAGTTAATCAACATTCACCGTTTAAAGTTATCTACATTCTACTATATAAGAAGAATTTAACTGAACTCCTTGACTGGGAAACCTGGCTCTCTAAAATGTTACCTACTAAATAGAACTAATAGGCTTAAACGACCAGGCCTATAAGGAAAGTGGAATGATGCTTAGGTAGAAAAGTCTTTCCATTGGAAAAGTTCAGTTACTGTTTTACAGATGTAAAGTACAGCTATGTGACAAATAAACTGGATGTGGCTACTACAACTCTCCTGCTAGAGCGAACCACTAAATGGAGCTTATTTGTTAAGGATTCTTACAATTATTTATTTAGCAGTATATTTAGCATATAAAGAATTTAAATAAATAAATTAAATAAAAATATGGCATATTTTCCCCCACTAAACTATAATGCCAGAAAATAGGAAAGAACTATTTTGGGGGCAATATTGAATCAAGAAATACTGTGGTGTTTTGTTTTTTTTGTCCTGCTACAGAGACAAGAGTTACTTTGCAACAATAAAACAAGATGACAAGATATCTTACACTTTGAGGTCATATAGTATATATTGCTTAGTATTTTAATGATCATTAATTTTGTAAAGATGTTACAACTACCAGAAATATCAATTGAAAATAGATTGGGAAACTGAATAAAAGTCCCTGTGAGGGTACTGAATTGTTCTCATAAAAATAACATAGGCAGACATCAGGTTTGGTTAAGCAGTTAAGCTTTGCTTAAGAATATTATTGTTTTCTCATAAGAATTACTTAACAACATTCAGGAAGGAAGACAAGTTAGTTGCTTACACAATCACACACCCACACATATATACACACACACACTTTCTGTTCCAAATAGTATGTTAGGTGAGTTCAATACTGTGGTCTCGAGATTTTAGCAGTGGATCATCAGCGTGGTACTTCTTTGAAGCCTCAAAACAAATGGTACCAGACATGAAACATGATTAAAAACAGATATAAATTAAAACAAATCTTTATTCAGTCAAAGGCTAGCATACATAATCCTACACAGTTTCAGGTAAAAGGTTCTGGGAAGGAAAATTAGGAAAGCAAATTCATTGAAATGGGGATGGGAGTTGAAGATAGAAAGAAGCAGGGCTTTTTTTGTCATAGAACGCCCAGAACGGAGTTCCGGCACCTTTTTTGCATGGAACCTTGTAGGGTAGGCAAGGCGGGTTATATGACGTGTGTGAATTCTGGCACCTTTTTTTTTTTTTTTTTTTTTTTTTACAAAAAAAGCACTGGAAAGAAGGGGTATCTGATCTACTTAATTTGGTTTCACAAATTGAAATATTAATATTAGTATCTTGGTAATGCAAATTAATTGTCAAAAGATTTCTACTTTCTCAAGAGAAGATTTAATTCAGATACTGTTCATTCACTGCATTAATTATTATGGAATGGATCAAAGGATCCATTCTTCAGATGAAAAGTATTATATTTTACCAGTGGATCTGCAAAAAAGGTTAAAGAATTGTTTAGCTAACACTTTGTGGAATAAAAAGAACAAAGCAGAGTTCCCTTTTATCAATGATACAGTGTGGCTTTAAGAAAATTCTAAATTAACAATTTGGTGAGGCATTTCTTAAGATTAAGTGAGAATCATAACACTGATTCATTCTAGGACTAGTAAAAAGCATGTAACTTTTCTGTTTTACTCATGTATACAGAGACATAGAGAGAACAACATTACATGGTAAACTCTTTTACTACTGACCCACCAGTGATCATGTCCTTTTACTGCATATTTTTATAGCTTGCAGATTGAATTTCCAGACTGTCATGTAGCACAGCAAATAAACGGTACGGCAACTGAACCAGAAGATTTCTGCTGCTCCCTGTTACTGTTAAGTTTTATAGTATAGTTTGTGGAGAGAAGATCAATTTTAGAGCTCTTAATGCTGCAGCCTTCCTTAGAATTATTCATACCTACATGGATACAAATGTATGGTATGGAATTTAAAAACATAGTATGTGAAGCATGGTGCTAAAATAATAATTCAAAGATGAACCAATGTATGAAAATTTATAAAGTCTCTTATTCCTACAGTGTCAAACTGGGAAAATAATACTCCACTGAAAAAGTGAGGATATAATAAAGCAGTTAATGTTTAAACATTAATTTTCCACTCCTTAAGCAATTAAATAAAAACACTTTAAATAAACATGCTTTTAGGTACTCCTGCAGTTTATTATGCTCCTATCTAGATACTGCTTGTTGAGCAGCAACATTGATCCTCTTTTGAGAGAGAGAGAGAGAGAGAGAGAAGGAGGAGGAGGAGGAGGAGGAGGAGGAGGAAGCTATAATAGAACTTCACAAGAATTAATAGGAAACTTTCAGAGAATAATTCTATCCTGCAATTACTGCAAAAGCAGATGACTATATTTGGGACATCCTGTCTAGGCTGTTAAAAAAATATTGCTAACCTGCCCAGTTAGGAAGTTATCAACATTTTGCATTTTCAGATTAAAATACTTGCATAATAATCAGACGTTATTATTTTATTCAACTATTACATTAATTTCAGAATTTTGAACTTATAGTAGCCTTATTAAATAGATAAAAGCCATAAAAGCTGACATTATGCAATGTTTTGTACACAGAATCAAAATGAAACAGTTACCGTATTTGGGACAAACGATTGGAGGCCACAGAAACCATATAATTTAATTTTATTTCAATATCATTTAATCATGCCCTTTCTTCTGTTGCTTTTATTTGAAATAGATTTAACTGAGATGCCACAGGATTTTTAATGAGCTTATTTTTTAAATAGTCTTCTGAAAATCTTCATCTTCAGTAATTTAAATTTAAATAAAAATATATAAATATTTAGTTAATCAAAGACCAACTATCAGCAAATTTTTCAACCTGAAGAGTAAGAATAAGCTTAGTTTGTAAAGGATTCATAAATTGTTTAATCTGGAAATGTCAACTGCATCTTGCTTAAATTCTGATAGGTTCATCATATATTGAAGCTTTTAGATTATCTAGTTCCATGCAGCCTTTCTGCATTTGGATAAAAACAAGCATCCAAGTAGCTAATATATCTAATCACCAGCATAAATTTAATTCAGTGTAAGTTTTTCATAACTGCAGAATTAAACTAAGTTATTCTATGTAATTTAAAACAATCCCAGTCTTTATACAAATATGAACAAATATTTTCATCCATTAATAAAATCAATTCCTTTTATTCTATTAAGAGGAAATATTATTCTTTCTATCAATATATTAGCAATATATATATTTATTGACAAAATTAAAGTTTATAGCCTGATTTGAAAAAAAAAATGTCCATGACTCTAATCACTATAATTTAATAAATTCTAACAAGCAAAATATTTTCCACTTGATCTTCTCCCCATAGCAAATAACTTTTATGTGACATCTATTTGTTCTCCACATAATTTATCCAAGTAAAATACTTGGATCTTTTTCTCATAAATATATGCTTTTTCCAATATGCAATACTTGCCACCTATTATAGTATTTCTCATTTCTATATTGTTTTGAAATTAAATAAGCTTCTACAACATGTCACTCTTCAAGTGTTTTTATCTAGCAAAATGCCAGGACAACAAAGCTACTATGTATTTTAACAATATACCAACTTATATTATACTCGTAATTGCTTAGTATGCACACAAGAAATGGTTTATTCTTCTTAAAAGCAAATAACAATGAACAATTCCATTTTACTTATTTTTTTATGAATAAATTTTTTTTTCTGTAAATGAAGCTTTCATCATTCTTCATTGATGACATATTTGTTTTCAATATATGAGCTTCATCCAACAATTAAATGAATAATAAATTTAATGCATTTTCTATTGAGAAATGAAATTCAGTTAAAAGCTGGACTATAACCCATCTAGCTGAGTATAGTTCAAAACTTGCCTTGGAATTTACTTAAAACAATTGTCTTACCATGGCATGAACCATCCACTTCTTCATAACCAACACTGCATATGCATCGTCCTAGAGGAACTAGCCAATCCCCATCAGCTCCACAATATAACTTTGGAGTATCCCGTTCTTCAGCACTCTTCACACAAGAACCTCGTACTTCCACTAAAGAAGAAGAATCAACCCTTGGAATGGTGTCAGGAAACATAGCCAAGTTCCGAACAGTGAAAGGACACTTTTTGTAGTAAACACGGACAGAAACCAAAGCAATGCATGCCCCAATATCTTGAAAGGCAAGAAAAAATCCTTTTCGGTTTATTGGTCCCACTTCACGAACTTCTGTATTCAGTTTCAGGATGCGATCTCCCAAATCCATCTGAGTAAAACTTTCATCAGCTGCAATAGTATCAATTTTGCTGTATTGGTTTGGCTTGAATTTAATTCCATGGGATTCATCTGATTCCAGATAGTAAAGGTTGAATGTTTCTTTGCATGTCCCCAGCACCCATGGAATGCTGTTGCAGTCCCTCAGTGTAAATTTCATTTCCACATAAATTTTCTGGGCAGCATCACGTGAGATCCAATTTGTACGAAGCCAGTTGTTTTGGTTGGGTTCCATAACATTACATACCTGGTATGTGTGGATAGGACGATTATATTCATCCATTTCTGTTATAGCATCCCACTAAAAAGAAAATACATTCCATGAAAAAAATCATCATAATAATCAAAAACATCTTTTATTTATATTAATTCAAAAGAGCATAATGTTGTTGATATATTAACTGTTATTAAATTGAAGAACTGTGACAAAGCTGAAATTGCCAGAAGTAGATATTAAGAATGACATTACTATCATTTCAAATGGTTATTTCATTTGGGGTCAGTATTTTTTCAAAAAGCATGCAGGTACCACCCCAAATACTCTGTGGTAGGCTCAGAAAGTAGATTAATTGTCTGGCATTAATCTGGGTGGTTGTTTGCTCCAATGCTTTCCCTTCAGGGAACATGAAACACATTTCATCAGAGACACTTCAAACTGCATTTTTTTTTGTCTTTTCACCATAGTAGCTGCTTTTTAAAACAACTTTGGCAACATTCCCAAAGCTCTCAGTAATTCTCAGTAATCAGTGAGCACATCTCTGGTTGGCCCATTCTCAGTCTCAGTATTCAGCCCAGGATCAAAAGTTTAGGGATGTATGGCATGTCTAATATTTTAATAATACGTAGACATGGTTATTAGTAGAGTGCCGGGAGAGAAGAATCTGACATTGTTTCCAAGGACACAGGAAGAAAGATAATATACAACCATTTTATTAATAATCTTATAGTAAAAAGAAAAGAAACTATTTAAAATAAAGCATATTTTTTAAGACATAACTAAAGAAAATAAGACTGTCAAATGGAAGAGATTATTTATTAATGATTGGAACAATATATATTTGCAAAAGAAATAAAAAAAATATATGAAAGTAATGGAAATTCAAAAATAAACTGAAAGAGGATCAAATGGGAACAGGAATAAAAATAACGGGAAAATAAATCTGCCAAAATCCCTATCTGCTATAGAAACTGCCATCATTCATGACAAGAGTCTGGACAACAGTGAAGTTAAATAAGTATAGGTGAAAATAAGATCTATCTTCACTTCATTTCTTTTCACCTATCCAAAAGAATACAAATGGGGATATCAGTAATGGACTGAGTGCAAGAATCATTCTGATTTCAAGACAGATTTGTTGATCAGTGAAGACATTATGTTTCTTTCTCCTATCTTCAACAAGGCATAAAACACCAGCAAGTGATAAGTCTATTGATACAGGTTCTGCAGCCCAGTTATCTTTAGTGCAGTGAAATTACATAGTGCTGAAGCTTGGCTGAGGTTTTTATTACACTTATCTCTTCAATCTGTAGAAAAGGTAAATTCCAGATGATTGGGGGAGACCAAATATTGATCCTATTTTTTTAAAAAAAAGGGTGGGAGGAGGGGGAAAGGAAGATACAGAAAACTACAGATTAACCTGTGATGATTCTAGAAAAAGTATTTAGAAACGGATCTGTAGATACATTGTAAACAATGCAGTAATTACCAAAAATCAGTATGATTTTATCACGAACAATTCTTGCCAGAGTAATGTAATCTCATTCTTTTGACTGAGATTTTTCTAGCAGATTGTGGGAATGCTCCACAAATAATATATCATGACTTCAGTAAAACATTTGACAAAGAACTCCAATAAATGCTAATTTCTAAGTTATTAAGTTGGCTCTATGGTATGACAATTACATATGTAACTGGCTTGAAAATAGCTGAAGGAATTCCAGTTTATTAAATCTTGACTATATGAAGGGTGATACATCTAAAACAAAATATAGCCTAGTTCATGTCTTCATTGCACACACTATCTTTTATATGTATAAGGAGAAATCTGGTTTATACATAAAAGGCCATGATTAGTTTATCTTTCCTATTTCCATGAAAATGAAAATCTGATGTCTTCACTGCTATACCTGGAAACAAATTACAAATTTATGATATAAAAAATAAAGTTTTGTGTGATCTTTGTGAAGGGCAATAGATACGAGAAGCATTCTTTCTGGATACTGACAATAATGGCCCAAAACAAAAATCTGTTCACAAATGTTAACTCTATGTTATCTATCATTAAACTTTGTAGCATTTGTAGCATTTTAGGGTTTCTTTGAAATGTGTTTGACAAAAATAGAATAATTTTTTCTTGCAGATTTCAGATTAATGTATTTTAAACAAAATCACAACTGTGTCATATAAATTATTATTACTAATATAACCATAATAAATTTATGTTAATGTATTGAAAAATCATTCTAGTTATATCAAGTAAGAGTTTTTGCCAATAGGACTTCACAGCCTTTGGAAGTAAAAATGTTCATTCATATTTCTTGTACCATAAAGTTCTAAACAGATTCTGTTTCATAAAATCTAAATCTAGGTTTCATAACATTAACTCCTAATGTTAGTGGCCAAGGTGCATTTTTTAATTGGCAAGGATAATGCGCAGGTCTGATGTTTTATTATCTCTTGAAACTTTATTGTGATGCTTATTTTTTAAAAAAACTAATGTTCCTTGTTTTATATTTTATTTGTTTTAAAATATCTAAATATGTGTAGAATCTCTATGCTTAAAAGTAAATTTTTCATACATGAATCATCAAAACAATCATGTTTTTGTAAGGGGAAACTTTCTCCAACCTGGCACTCCCCAGATACATTATATTTCCTAAATTTCCAGCTGACAATTCTGGAAAGTGTAGTTTAAAGCATTTAGAAGGCACAGTTGGAACACAACTATTTTTCAGAACTTAACTGATAACTCATTACAATAACTGAAAACCAATCAGTTTTCAGTTATTGTATTGACACTGGCAATCAATCTCTTGTCACTTTTCAGAAAGAGAAAAAGCACTTGATCTGTTTTCAAGAGATAAAAAATGTATTTCTCAGAAATGTATGATTTTTTTTAGTAAATTTTCTCTGAAGGAGGAAATAAATTTATATGAATAAAATATTCATAAATATTTTATGTTATGCTCTCTAGAATTGGAAATAACTAATCCTGATCATTTTTAAAGTTTGTAGCCAATAATTCTTTTTCTAAGAACTGTTAAGAAGTTGTACTTGTTAAATGTGGATCAGCCACTTTTTACTAATCCTTCTTATGATCGCTTATTTCATCCATATCTTCAGAAAATCTGTTTTTGAAGCTTATAAAGTTAGATTTATTCCATACTATCTTCAAAGTCTTCATGGTCATTTTCTCTTATATATTGAGTTAATAATGTCATATAGATTTTAGAAGGATCATTCTAATGCCTCCAATCCCTAAAGAGTATTTTTTTTAAGGTCCACACTGTGAAGAACAGGGTAAACCCTGTGAATTACCAATATAAAATTCAGAAATGATGTTTTCTGGAGGGCATTAGATTAGGGAAGGCTGAAATAGATTTATAGCTATTTCTTAAATGTATTTAAGAATGAAGGAAATGAAGAAAATTTCACAAGGTTGAACTATCCAGAATAATGCTCTCTGCTTTTGGCAAATAAGTGAGTCATTTAAAAGAAGACATTCAAAAAGGTTTTTTATTTTATTAAAACAGCAATAATTAGAGGAGACTTGAATGCCAGTTAATAGTTTAGATTTCGACAGCTTAATTGCAGTATCTTTTCTTGCTGCAGGGATTGCTGTTAAAGCCAAAAGTGCTTTGTGTTCACCTTAAACCAAAATAAAAAAAATGTTCCCAATATAACTATTTCCATTAAATTCTGTAAATATTCACTTTGAACATTGAAATGTAGCTATAGTAATAATAAAGTTTGCTGCATCACAACATAACAAAATGCATGGATTCATTTATACAGATATGCAAAACTTCCTTAACTATTTCTATGGATATTTATTCTTGCCAAAAATGGGCAAATGCCTACATGTTTTCATGAATGAGATTTTGCCAGTTATTCTGCATGCTAATTTGGATCATTAGATTGTTTTGCATGGTGCTATATTAAATACAATGAAAATCTGGATGACTGAAAGGCTTGTTGCATTTATAGTGGTCATCCAGATTTTTACACCGTGCATATGGTGTTGTTCATTGGTGTTGTTATCTTATTTGTATTATTAGTGTTTTATTGTTATTATATTTGTATTCTGCTATGCTATTATAACAAATAAGCATGATCATGGAAGGAATAAACAGTAATAAAATAATAAAATATTGCATAATGTTTATTATCTCATTTCCTGCCAGGACTGCAATGTTTATTATATATTTATATTTATTTATTTATACATTTTGTTATGAGATGAGTATAAACATTGCAGTCCTGATAGTAAGTTGGAAAATAAACATTATGCAATTATCTAGTATTCAAGAAGACATGGTTAAACAAAATTTGGGCTTATTCCAAGTTGACAAATGAACTATGGAACCTTTTAAAGTAGAACAAGTCAAGAAACAAATATTACCTGTATTCCAGGTATGCCACTTTATTGTTATAAGGTATAGTAATACAATGTTAGCCTCAAGAGTTTGCATTTGTTTCCTCTTATATCAAACAGAATCAAAGCAAGACTATTTTGAGTTTATTTCTCACACTATTACTTTTCTCAGAAGTGACTTTATTACCCTAAAAGGTTCTTCATACCTTTGTCAAGATTATCCCTGCATTCCTCTATACCTTTGTATTAGATGACAATAACTTTCAGATCACTAACAACCTTGCAAGTTCTAGTAAGGGTTTCACCTCCACTTCTCAACTCCAAACTTAAATTGAAATTTAAATAATGAGTTTTAGCTGTGGTTAAGTTATTAAATGGTTATTGGTTATAAATTTGTTTTTTATTATTGTATGTTTAAAATTTAACATAGCATCCATTTAGAAGTCAAATTTTGATAGCAATCTCACAAGACAGATATGGATAAAACAAAGCAAAAGCTATTATAAATAGTTTTGTAGTTAAAAATCCAGAGTATCTTTCAAAATTAACCCAATCTGGGAGATAAAAGTAAAAAACTGAAAGTTGTGCTAAATAATTAATTTTACCTGAATCCTTGAACACTATTAGTTTATAATGAAAAACACAATAAAGCGATGTCTGTGACTTGCAGTTCACTGTAAGTTATAACACCAATAAAACTGGATAA